CGTTGGGCTTGTATTACTTACTGCCAGCCTGTATTTTCTGCATTTGAGCCCTCTACTGAAAAATACCCCTAAAAACTTATTCACAGTGTGTTCGTGGGGTTACGCACCCACATCACAGGAAACCCGAACATAAGCCAGGGTGAGGGATTTAACTCCAGCAACCGTTTCTCCTGCTCCCTTGAGTCACTGCATTTGTTCCCCAAGTTTGGAGTTTTTAGAACTGACTCGAGCCCAGCGGCAAGAGCGATGAGACGAGACCGATCTTTACTTCTGGTTTTGGCTGCTGTTTGCTCGCACTGAAGAATGACAGCAGTGTCCCAGCTTTGCCACTGGCTGCTGTGAATTCCTTCATTAACTGCTGTTCTGACCAGAGGAGCACTGGAAAGCAGCAATAGCCCTGATACGCTGGATGAGCCGGGGGCCTATACTCAGACCCCTGCCTACCTGGAGGCTGGAACCAGGGCCTTGCTGCACACAGGTTGAGGCTAGCCATCCATTCCCTTGATCTGTTGCCCTCAGGACAACATTGGTGCACACTTGCGGCACACCTTGTACTTTACACTGTGGGGAATGTGAAACCACCCCTGGCTTAACAGAGCCCTCAGCCAAGCGGTAAGGCCTGTAGGCTGCCTTGAGCTGCGGAGCCAGGCTGTTCAGTGTCCGGGGCCCACTGCAGAGGAGCTCTGTGCATTGGCTGGGGTGGGCAGGCCCCAAGAGGAAGAGCTGAGTTTGGGAGGGAAAGGAATGGGAGTGAGAACCTTGTGGTGAGCACCTTCAACAAAGGCCCGGAGCAGTGTGACAGAGGATGGGGAGGGAGGGGCCCCTGACCTGGTACCTGGGAGAGAGTAGTTAAGGAGAGATTAGGTTAGGTGATGGTAAACCAGTGCTAGGAGACCGAGACAGGAGGACCTCAGATTTGAGATAGTTGGGTAATTTTGTTTTCTTTTAGCCTGGGTAATTTAGCAAGACCTTGTCTCAAAATAAAAGAATAAGGGTGAGGGATTTAACTCAGTGGTGCCGCCACCTGCCTTGAAAGCTCAAGGTCCTGAGTTCAATCCCCAGTACATATCATACATAATAAAAGATTAAAAGGCTAGAAATATAGCTCAGTGCAGAAACAAATCAACGGATTGGCCATGTTCTGGGGTGCAACCTGTAGTCCCAGCTCATGGGAGGCAGAAGGATCACTGTGTTTCAGGTTTGTAAGAGAAGTCTGCTCAATAGGCTGTCAAAAACAAGGCAAATCAGGAGAGGCCCCCAACGCCATGCTAAAGCCTTTGAACTTTACTATAGGTTTTGGGAAACAATGTGGAACTTTAAAGTTTGATATTGCAGAAATAACATGGGAAGATAATTTGGGAGAGAACTGAGAGGCATTGATGAGAAACATCGATTAATTGGCAACGGTTTTATGAAATTCAACCTCAGGCAAGGTCCTGAGTTCGATCCCCAGTACCAAAAAAAGAAATTCATCTCCACACCTCTGAAGCTAGAGCCTGGCCCTTCCTGCTGCTCTTGCCTCTGTCAGCGTCTCACCGTGAGGTCTTCTTAACACACACCAGCAGAAGCAGGGCTTTAAAGTTGACAGCAGAGCGTGGTAGTGTGCACATCTAATCCCAGCACTCTGGGAAGCTGAGGGCCGGAGGATCGCAAATTCAAGCTCAAACCTGGGCAATTCAGCGACTTAGCAAGACACTGTCTTAATTTTTTTTTTTTTTTTTTTTTTTTTTTTTGAATGTTGAAAGGGCCGGGATATAGCTCAGTGTGAAGGACCTGAGTTCAATTTCTAGCACCGCGAATTAACTGCCATCAAAACATCAAGTTCCATTTCATGTTGGATCAGTTACTTAGCTCTAAACTGGGATCATTTAACCTCCAGAAAAATCATGAACAATTTAACATAGGTTTTGGTTTTATCTCTTTTTAAAACTATTTTCATCAAATAAATGAAATTTAAATTTAAATTTAAATTTACAATTTAAATGTAGGCTTCAGCCAGGTGTGGTGGCGCACGCCTGTAATCCCAGCACTTGGGAGGCGGAGGCAGGAGGATCGCTGTGAGTTTGAGACCAGTCTGGGCTACATAGTGAGTTCCAGGTCGTTCTCAACTACATAGTGAGACCCTGTCTCAAAAAAACAAACAAACAAATAAATGGGGGTTTCAAAGTGGCTTCAATAGATGGAGCCTCTGGGTTGGACCCAATTGCTCCTCCCTTCAGGCGATCGCCCCTCCCTCTGGGCGTGGCTTCTGTTGTGCAATGAGACTCGTGGCTCTGAAGAGTAAATTCCCAGGCATCCTCGGTAGTTGGGTATGGTAACTGGGCACAGGGGATGGGCTTTGTATGCACCTTCAAAGCACTGTATTCTAAGTGGAAAACATTGGTTTAAAACTATTGTAGGGGCCAGCGATTTTGGGGGGCGGTACAAGAAAAGGCTTTTTAAAAATCTAGCCCAAAGCTGGGTGTGGTGGCGCAAGCCTGTAATCCCAGCATTTGGCTGAGGCAGGAGGATTGCTGTGAGTTTCACACCAGCCTGGGCTACATAGTGAGTTCCAGGTCAATCTCAACTACATAGTGAGACCCTGTCTCAAAAAAACAAAAACAACAACAACAAAAAGTCTATAGCCCAAATGTAACATTTTATGTTCTTTTTTCCTGGTCTAAATAATAATCGTAGCATTTTTTAGTTGAAACGTTAACAGTTTTTGGATAAGTTGCTATCTATGTTTATATTATCCTAACCTCGTAAACATTATTCGCTCCCGAGATGAGTGTGCTGTATTATAATTAATGGGACTGCTTTTTCCCTCTCTAACTTTGCTCTCCCTGTTAATATTTGCACTGGGGTGGGTGGAGGAGGCTTCTGCTTTCTAACCACTCATCTCCAGCTGTGACCTTGCTGGCTGCACTCGGGTAGCCCCAGTGCTCAATCCCACGGGCCCAGTCCTTACCCGGCGCCCTGCACATTTTTGGCAGTGGACTCTCAGAGCCCACGGTGGCTGCCTCGGGGTGTGCTCCACAGCGCCAGTGCCTCTGCCGAGCACGTGCCGCAGCGGTGCTTGGGGACTGTGAGGGGCCACAAGTTCGAGCCCTCTTACAGCTCAAAGTGCCTTCCTTCTGCCACAGGAGTGCTGTGTGAAATTCTAAGCTGAACCCTTGAAGGTATTGCCCCAGGATCTTTTAGCTTCTAGGTTTCCTGTTGAGTCCCATCCTGTTCTCATTCACATTACTTTATATGACTTTCTGTTGTTCTTTTTAGAATCTTTTAAGATCTTTGCTGTATCCCCGGTGTTCTAAAAATTTGCAAAAATGTGTCTTAGTGTGTGCATCTTTTTTCATTTATTGTGCTGGGTGTCACGTGGGCCTTTTCAATTTGAAACTCGTGGGGTTTTGTTCTGCTTTGTTTTTCTAGAAATTAACATGTCTAATAATTTCCTGAGCCAGATGTGGTAGTGCAGGCCTATGATCCCAGCATTGGGAAAGCTGAGTCGGAGGCCAGCCTGGGGTACATAGCAAGGCTGTCTCAGAAAACAAAACAAAAATCTTACATTCCACCGGGGTTTAACCAGGTGGTTCCTCCGCCTGCCTCTCCAGCGCAAGGATCCGAGTTCAATACCGGATACGGAAAAAAAAAAAAAAAATCTTATATTCCTTCCCTATAGCTACTTTTTTTTGGTGCTGGGAATTGAATCAGGCTCTAGCACATATCATTTACTTTCCTCTGTGTACCATACTCTCTCACCTACAACTGTACTCTGCACCTCTCTAAAAGTGACATACTAAAAACACGGATTGTTGTAGTGTGCCGCGGCAGCGTGTGGTGACCTACATGCCTTAAGGGTAGGAAAGCAGGCCTCGCCTTCCCAACAAATGTCACTGTGGACCTTTTCTTGGGATATTTCCAGATCAGGTTCTCAAGACAATGGCTGAGCCTCAGATGTGTCACGAAGGCCGGGGCGCCCATGGGTGTGATCCACTGGGTGTAGATTTTCAGCCGCCTCCCCTGTCTGCCGGAGCCAGCTCTCCTCATCCAAGCCCCTCTTGGCAGGGACTTGCACCTTCCACCTCCTGATCAAGTCAGAACCACTTCTGCGCATTTGCTCTGCACTTTCCCAAAGTGTCACTGTCCCTTTTACATGCTTTTCCCCATTATAATTCTACTTTCAGAAGGAAGATACCAACAAGTAAGTTTATTCAGCCTTGTTTAACTAGAAATGGGCCATCATCCTCTGAATCTGCATACTACTTACTTTATGTTAAACTCTCCTTCCTACTGTAAATAATAGGGATACTGGAAGACAGTTGAATCTCTCTCTCTCCCTCTCTCTCTCTCCTCTCTCTGTGTATCTCTGTCACTCTGAGTTGACCTCAAAATGTGTTTTTAAGGTTTACAGTGAAATCTAAAAATCAACATCAAAGGCATTAGTTCCCACCCACCCACACACTTTTTTAAGCTTAACTTTGAAAGGAGAGATATAGTTGAACAGAGGCCAGAAAACAGTAGGAAAGGAAATTTTTTGCTTATTTTTTGTTTTGTTTTGTTTTTTTGTTTTTTTTTTGGTACCGGGGTTCGAACTCGGATTCTTGCGCTTCCGAGGCAGGCGCCAGAACTAGTGAGCTAAATCCTCGGCCCAGGAAAGGAAATTTTTTCTTTTCAAGCTAAGAGAAACCTAGCACAACAAAGGCAGGTGGTATAGCCAAGCACCAAAGAAGAGTAAGGTCTGTTCCCAGAGGAGGAAGGTAGTCATGGAGTAGGATTCAGACCAGATAAGCCTGAGTTTCCTGCAGATGAAGACAGGCAAGATCTCCTGGAAAGTTTGTTTCTCCAGATTTTCTTTCGTGATAGTCTCTTTTGAAAAAGTGGAATGGAGTGAGGCAAGAGATTGATTTATGCCTTGAAAGTGAGTATGTATGTGATGTCCTGGGGCCAGCTGGCCCACCTCGCCAGCATCTGCAGCATGAGCACAGCCCTCACCAGCCATCTTGTCTTTGTCTCTCCAGGCCTGGTCCAGATCCCGGTGAGCATGTACCAGACTGTGGTAACCAGCCTCGCCCAGGGCAATGGGCCAGTGCAGGTGGCCATGGCCCCTGTGACCACCAGGATATCAGACAGCGCAGTCACCATGGACGGCCAGGCTGTGGAGGTGGTGACGTTGGAACAGTGACACACGGCCATACCATGGCATCGTTTTCTAGTCTACTTCAAAATTTTTTACACGTTTTGCAAAGGTGCAATCAAATGGAATTAAGTCTCTCGACTTTGGAAGAAAAGTTTTGTTAACCTTTTTTTTTAAAGGAAGAAAGGTGGCAGATTTAGGAATTGCATTTTTTTTTAAAGCACCACTCTTGATTTTCTGGGATTGGTGGAATAAGAAGCTGCATTGTCAATTTCACTGTCCCAAAAAAGCCAAATTGTGGCAGGACTTCTTTCTGCAGAAACGTGTGTGTATACTTACGTGTGTGTGTGTGAGTGTGAATATATGTAAATGTGTACATATGGACATACACATTTACATATAAATATAAAGTGTGTGTGTGTATATATATATACATGCATACATATATATGTATGAAACCCGCATGAAATTCTCTGTATGAAATCAAGGTGAGCTGTGGAAACAATAATCCACCCAGTTTAGTGGGTGATAGGGTACGTGGCCAGACACAGTCACCTGGTTTTTGTTCATACCAGGGTCATGCGTTGAGCTACTGACAAACTCAGGCAGAGGTGACCACGTCCTTCACCAAAGCTGCCTCCCAGCAGCCGCCCAGAACTCTCCCTGCTGGACTCAACTGAGGAAGGAGGTTCCAGGACGCAGCGGGGCCCAGGACCAGTGGTCTGCTGGCTGGGATGCTCTCGGCTGGCCCAGGTGCTGAGCTCAGCTCGGGCAGAGGGCTGCCATGAAAGCTCCGGGACAGGGCCAAGAAGGTGATCCTCAGCCTCACGCCTCCTCCCTTCCCAGGGACCCTTCTGGAGCTCATGACTGTTGAAGAGTTGCTTTGGTTTTAAGGTCAGTCCTGACTTGGTCATGTGTATGAATTGAAGGTAACAGAAGTATTAAGGGTCTGAGGAGTGTATGCTAAGTGTGCTTGTGAGTGTGTGAGAGTGTGTGTGTGTGTGTGTGATGGGGGAGAGTGGGAAGGGGTTCGAGGAGTTGAAAGGGTAAGGAAGGAGAGAGAAGTCTTTATAGACCAGGGTTCACCAAGGCGAGCCATTTTCTAGAGGAGTGTACTAAGTGTGCTTGTGACTGTGTGAGAGTGTGTGTGTGTGTGTGTGATGGGGGAGAGTGGGAAGGGGTTCGAGGAGTTGAAAGGGTAAGGAAGGAGAGAGAAGTCTTTATAGACCAGGGTTCACCAAGGCGAGCCATTTTCTTTAGCTGGCTGGAGCAGCTTAACAGAGCAGACCCTGCACCAGAAAGGGACACCGGGCTCAGGAGCGACGGCCGACACAACAGAGCATCAGGAGAGGGAGGGGCCCAGTTCCTGGATCCCCTCCTTCAGGAGCGGCTCCCTGAGGCCCCTTTCCTGCCTGTGACCCAGGCCCTGACCAGCCTTCCTGCTCACAGGTGTCGACTGGTCTGGGTGTTGCCGCTGTCAAATTCTGCGCTTTCCCAGCAGCAGCCCTGAGTCTCCAGTGGATAAATTCACCTGACGTTTTGACAGGCCAAATCTCTGCTCCTTGAGTACAGGGACAACACTTTCTCCCTCTTCCCAGGTTTCCCTACATGTGTGATAGTGTATTTAATGTGTTTTTTTATGCGAATTAAAAGATTCCTCATGTCTTGCTCAGCCTTTGACAAAAGTTTCAGATTCTTGTATTTGCTTGTTTTATATAAAACTATCCAATGTTCTTTGTATGTTCTTTTCTGTACGTAATGGGGGGAGGGCAGGGAAATTTACATATGAACAGTCCTAGTTCTATAATTTGTTATTTTTTTAATTATTATTTTTTATTGTCATTGTGAAGCTGTCCAGGACTTTAAAGTCCATGTTCCTTTGTGGTAAAATAACCTCCTAATAGTTTGAGAAATTGCCAAGAAGAAAAAAAAAAAGCAAAACCCCAGTAGCAAAGCATGGATTCTGTGTTGTTTTCCATTCTGTCTATACTGCCTCATTCAATAAATAGTGTAAAACGTGGCAACAGGAAGTGGAGCTGTTCATCTCTGGAGCAGTCCTTGGCCTCTTGGGCAAAAGGACTCTCTTTGGAGTGGCTTGTACTTTTTGAAGGATACTTGTACTCAGGGCCAGTGGCTTTTTTTCCCCTGTGGCACTGCAAAACCCTGGAAGGAGGTCACTGAGGACCGTGTGAGGGACTCCTGCCAACCCTAGCGCCAGTCCAGTTCCATTGCATGTATAATTTTGTTTTCTGTAACATGATGTTCTAGGAGAAAAGTCTAGTGTGAAAAATCCTGAGGATAATTTGAAGCCTCTACTGAGTTCTCTTCTTAAGTGTTAATTTTATATCGGTAAAAATCAGGGTGGGCAGTGGCGCCTTTCCATCCTGGGAGGTCGTCCCACCGCGCGCATTCTTTAACTCTCAAGTAGATCGTCCTTGAGGCAGAGGGCCCAAGACACGAATGTTCCCTGACATCCTCACTCCTCAGTTTCTCACACGTCTCTCTGTCTTAACATGTCGACTGCCACCTCGCAAGCTGTGTCTCCTCCCACACCCCCGGCTCAGGACCTTCCCAAAGCCCTTAGCCTCCACAGTTTTTGCACACTTGCCTCAGCACAGAATGTCCTGTCCACCCCCATGCCATTGCCACCCCCTCTTTCTGTTCTTTTTCTCTCTCTGTTCTGTTGTTGGATGTCTTAGCGATAAGGATTAGAATTGAATGGGGGGAGGGTTTCCTTGATGCCTGACAGTGGTTTCCTAAAGCCAGGTGCCCACCTCTCCCTCCTATACAAATGGTATGGGCCACCTATTTTCACTAGAGAGGATGGAGCAGAGGAAGGGGTCATTGTAGCCACCTGGAACAGTGAGGTGACCTAGAGACCCTCTTGGTCAGTATGAGCCTCTCACCAGTGCCCACTGCACAGCCCCTGCTGTTTGGCAGGCACTGCAGCCACCACAAGCACGTGTTGACAGGTGTCTTTGGTGGAGCCCATGGAGACCTTCTCTTCTGTCACTGCCCAGGTCACTGACAGGAACTTTGGGAATGATAAGGTAAGTCCAGTCAGTGAATGAAGCAGCAGCAGTTCAGGTCGGAAAGAAGAGGGCTGCTGGAGGCAGAGTGGAGAGCGTCTCCAAAGGAGCAGCCCCCAGGCGTCAGTAGATGGTCGCCTTACAGAAGGGGGGCCCTTCTTGCCCTATTTTCAGAATCTTCCTGAGAATCTGGGGAATCTAGGTTTTTATATGAAATCTGAATTCATCAACCACTGGAAAATTCACAGGGCCGGGCATTTAGCTCGGTGGTTCGGCCACCTGCCTCACAAGCGCAAGGTCCCAGGTTTAACCCTGGTTAAAAAAAAAAAACTGGAAAATTATCTACCTGATCTTCAGGCAAAATGAAACCCATCTGTAGATTAGATCTGGCCCAAGGGGGAGTTTTGTTGAATGTCACGAATGCCTCACCTATGCCAGACAACTAAAGCATGGCCACTGAGAAACAAGGGCAGCAGCCATGTATGTGAACAGGTCCAGGGGCCCAGGTGGAGCGAGGCCATCTGGACAGTGCCACCGCTGAGTTCTGATCTCCTCTTATCTCCTTAAGGGAGATACGTGTTAAGTAGTTTATCATCCAAGCTGCAGACAAGCATCTGGTGCTCACAGAGACCAAGAGACCTGTCTAAGAATTCTTGACCGTGAGTCCATCTAAGAAGACGCCTCAGCAATGCTGGTGAACGGCTGAGGAGAAACAGCAAGGCAGAGAAGGGGCAGCTGGGAAGAGGGTTCAGGCTGTAGTGCACTGTGCCTGGCTCAGACCCCAGTAAGGACCCAGAATCTTGGACGTGGCAGCACCAAAACTCACCAGTAGAAAAGCAACTTAGCTGTTTGGAGTACAACCCACAACTCCCTCCACCGTCTCAGTGAGCCATAGACTGCCCAGGTCACAGCCCAGGCTGCCTATGGCTGTAGAATATCTGGTGCCGAGATGCCCAATTGGAGGTAACCGTCCGTGTACACCCGATGGGCTGGTGCTGGTGGCTGTAGGAGGGCAGCCCACGGAGAAGACCCACGCAGGACAGTGGGCGTGGAGGAGGCAGCATGGAACGAGGGAAAGGAGGAGGTGGGCTAGTGGGGGACCGGGACATCAGGACAGGGCTGGACTAGAGCAGCTGGAGAGCCGCTGCCTTGCTGGCACTGCAGTGCCCTGGAGGGGATCCCCAGCCCACTCAGAAAACCAGTGAGCTGTTGACGTTTGCTGAGTGCTGGTGGTCCAGAGTATCTCTGCAGTGTAGGGAAAGGAAGGAGCAGGAACCATCTGCAGAGTGGAACCAGGCTACAGACAGCACTGGAGGAAGGTCAGACCTGGGCCCCAAGCCTGTCACAGGCACTCCTGGCACCTGCACGTGAGAAATGTGCTTGTCCACGAGAGGGTTATGTGGTCACCATGAATAATTACAGAGTCCTCAGAATGCTGCACGCTGTGCTGGGATTTACTTATGTGCAGTATTCACCCATTTAGTCTTCACAGAATACTATTATCCCCCTTTTACAGATGAGCGGGGAGGTACAGAGAGGGTAGGTTAAATAACCTGGCCAAGTTCACCCCACTGTAAGAGGCAGAGGCAGAGTACAAACTTAGGCAAGCTGGTCCCAGAGTCTGTACCACCCGATACACTTTTCTTGTGGCCTAAAGTGGATGAAAGTGGAGGGTATAAGAACATTCAGTCATATTTCTTAAATAGATTAACTGTTGTTTGGGAGAAAATGCTAAAATCCACCCCCTCCCCAAGTTTAATGCACTTGGAAATAAAACTGTTAGCGAGAGCCTTGCACGATGGTGCACACCTGTACTTCCATTGGCTCAGGAGACTGAGGCAGGAAGGGCTCCAGTTTGAAGCTAGCCTAGTCTACTTAGTGAGACTCTGTCCCAAAAAACAAGAAAAGTAACTTTCTTCCTAATTTGTCCATTAAGAGACATACAGCTTGTTCTCTCATAGCACTGTTCTCTCTGGCCCACCCTCATGCTGTAGCGTGTACTTCTTTTCCTTTTACTTGAGCCAAACTCACTCTGCAGAGCCGGTTTCTTTTTCTACCTTTTATAAAGCTTTGCTACCAAAAACGAAAGAAACTCACAGTTACAGCTAGCAGTTACACAATGGCTGCTCTACTTTTCTTTGCTAAGTGCATACCATTTCTAATCCTCTCCACAATCCTTTAAGAAAAAGAGTCCATCTTACAGGTGTGGGAAGCGCAGAAACAGGAGACAGAGCTGGATTGCATGCTCGGGTGTCTGTCCCTCAGCTCTGCTCTTCCTACAGACCGCTCAGGTGGGTCTCACAAAACAAACCGCATGTCAAGATTCTGCTTCTGACAGCGGCCTTGAGTTGTCAAGCTCAGCGGCTCAGCACAGGTGCGGCCACTCCCGTGCTCAGTGTGGTCTGAGCCGTGCTGGATGGTGTCAGTCTTGCCCAGGGCTGCCATCCCATTGGCTGGGCCGTTGCCCCCACCACAACACACACACACACACGCACGCACGCACGCACGCACGCAAACATGCAGAGGGGCCTGTGTAGCTCAAAATGGCCTTGAGCTCCCTGGAAAGCCCAGACTGGCCTCAGACTACTTGCTGTCCTGCCATGGCCTCCCAAGTGCTGGCCATACATTTTCATTACTCAAAACTTTTTCACAAAAATCTAATTGTTGGCACTGAAATAATTTTATTTAAAAGTAATACAGTTTGTGTGTGAGTGTTTATGTGATTAGACTCAGGGCCTACACATGTGCAAATAATGTCAATTTTATAAGAAAAATCTGGCCAGGTGCTTTCTTGCCAGAGGTGAAGGGTAGTGAAAATGTTGATGGCTAAACAATTACATTATGCTGTCTTTCTTAAAAGACCCAGGGCCCAAACAGAAGTGAGAGATAAGTTAATCATAAAATTCAAGAGGCACTGGGCAAAAAAGCAAGATTAAATCTGGGCAAAAGTCAGTGAATTGTGAAGTCATCAGGTGAGTGTAAGCTCTGTTCTTGCTGCGCCCTGGTGCCCTTGTGGAAGGCTATTTTAAAGCTAGAAGGAAGGAACTCCCCAACCCAGTACTGGGAACCAAACCCAGGCCCTGGCACGAGTGGGGCCAGCTCTCACCCACCCTCTAAGCTGGATGGCCCTTGGTCAGCCCCTCTCCTGAAGGCTACCAAGGTTAAAGCCTCAAGGCATGAAAGGCCCGGGCAGAGTTCACCCCCAAATGCATGCTGCTCTTCCCTCCTGAGCTCCTCCTGACCTGGCCTTACCTTTACAGTCCAGATTCACAAAACCTGAAATTTTACTCAAAAATGTACCAAATTGGGGAAGAAGATGGCTTTTAAAAAAAAAATTCACAAGAAAAAAAGGAACTTGGGGCCAGGGATTTAGCTCAGTGGTTCCGCTGCCTGCCTCAGAAGCACAAGGTCCCGAGTTCAATCCCTGGTACCAAAAATAAAATAAAATAAAATAAAATTTAAAAAAGGGGGAACTTATCATCATAGGTGCTCATCCGTACACAACAGCAGCTAGGCTGCAAGGACAATTCATGGGGCAGTCAGTATGGGGGCCCCGCTAGGTCCTGCGCAGTGTGCAAGCTCCTGGCCTCAGTTTCCCTTGTCCACATGGGTCCCACATTTCCTGCAGGGCTCACCCTGTGGGCTCCTGCCTCCTGCTGAGACTCAGGAAGATGCTAGGGGCTACTAGGGCTCAACACCTTCCGGGCAGTGAAAGGCAGAACCCTGCAGACCGCTGTGCAAAGACAGTTCCCCTTGTTGCTGGAAGCAGTCAGGCGAGTCAAGCAGCGCCAGATGCACAGGTCTCCTAGGTCCCATCAGCAGTGGCCAAGGGTCAGAGCCACCAGGTCCAAACCCCAGGTGAGGGGATCAGCCTTTGGAGAAGAGGTTAGGATGTAAACCCTGCAAGTGGGAACAACCAAACAGAGGTCCTCAGGGCGTCCTCAGCAGCCCACACTGCCTACCATGGCTGTCTCCTGGGTAAAGTAGGAGTCATCGG